CATATTCTGGTGTGATCCATTCACAGAACGTGAGGTACATGGAAATAACTCATAAACTGGTGTGTGTTTCATCTTTTCATGCAAAACCCCCCAGGAGCACTGAGACCTTTGTGTGGCTCATCCCAGATTTCCAAGCACAGCAGTGCTCCTGGGGCAGTATTTAAGGAGTGTCAGCACACGGATGTAACCACTGTATAGCGTAGTGCCAAAATTATGATTTCAATTGTGTACGTAGTTTAAGACCCAATAAATGGACTGTTTGTAACTACTGCATCTTCCTGTATTTCTAAAGAGGAAATGTGTTGGTTTGAGACTGTAACTTCAGGTTTTTACAGTGCTTTTGAGCTTGGATGAGGCCTGTGTTTGTCCTGGGATTTGGTAATGAGTTAAGGCATCATTAAGGACTAATTAAAGATCTTGTTCTGATGTCTAGGAAATCAGCTTTTACATTTATGGAAAAATACCTTGTGCCAGGAAAACACCTGTTAACTTCTGAGAACTGGAGAAACTAGTATTTGTTGGAGAGGGTTTTGCTGATAGAATTAAATCTTTGCAAGTGATGGAATTAAATCTTTACAAGTGATGGAAAGCCTTTGCTGCAGAGGATCATCTTTAAGGGATCCTTGGCTGATGAAGTGTTCGTGCAGATATTGCATGTACTGTGCTGCAGCTCTGCTGCTTTGTGCTGTACTTGGGAATCTCTTTTCTCTTTCCTTAGGGTGTAGCTGGAATTGGTTGAGCTTTCAGTGCAGTGTAGGGAATCATGCTCTGGTCAGGAGTGGTATTAATTCCCAACATGTTATGAATCAACAGTAAATTGCTTTATCCAAAGAGATCCCCCAGTAAATGCAGCAAAATATCCAAAACACGTTTCTATAGGATAAAAAACACCTGTGGCAGTGTGAGCAAACTTGTGCTGGTTGAGTTTTGGTGAGGGAAGGGCTGTTAGTCTCTTGTCCTGAAAATGCAGGAACAATTTTTTACCACATCTTCACCAAACACCACAACTGCATTACTGTATTTATTCCTTAACTTTCCCCAGGCAACACCCAAATCCTGAATTCTGAAATTTCATCACTGATGTCCTTTACTGTCTCTTCCCTGAAGCTGTCAAGATAAACCAACTGCAGTACCTGAATCTGGAGAGGGAGAGATTTCTAGCACAAGAAGAGAGAATTTTTTCCCCTTGGAACAGGAAAGGAGATGGAAAAATATCTTGAGCATAGTTTGATAGCCTCAACATCCTTAGTGACCACCTGTCAGACTGCACAGATAACCTGTGACCATCATGGGGAAACACCAAAGAAAGACAAAGCTGTAAGGCAGAATTTGGGAGGTTTGGGAGGTGTTTTGCTTTGTTGAAGTTGGGGGTTTTTTGTTGGATTTTTTGGAGGTTTGGTTTGGTTTTAAACACTCAAATTGCCAGTGATGCACTGCTCAGTGACTCTTCCTCGACCATTAAATGGTGTGATCTCCCCTATTTCCATAATCAGGTGGGTATATTTGATGTTTGATATATAAGAAAATTAAAAGTAGGCAAATTACTTTTAATCTGTGCTTTTGGGTGGCACCACAGTTTCAGCTTTGGTGGATTGTGTTGGTAACAAGTTCATGAATGGATTTGAGTTTTAATTAAAGAGGCAAAGAGATGAAGTTCCTTATTTCTGGTATATTATGACTGTATTCCTGTTATGTCCACGTATCTCCCTTTCCCCTTTCTCACTCCTCTCCCAGGCTGCTGGGACTGCTGTGCTGGGTACACTGGCTGATGTGATGATGTCTCCTGTCAGTTTTTCACAGTTAGGCATCCCCAGCATCCCACACCCTGCTCAGTCTCACACTTCCTTCCACAGCTTCAGGCTTCCTGGAATCCTGCAGCAGAGCCTCCAGCTCCCTTTTCCCCAGGGCTGTGGAAAACACAATAATCTGGTAAGATACAAGGGGAAAATCAAGCCCTGTGGCAATAGAAGGGTTTGCTGTCCACTGTCCTGGGAAGATTTTAACTCTAACCCTGCTGTGAGTTACCAGCTGATGTGTTTTGCATCCTGCAGTACCTGAAAGGCAACTTCTAATTGCCTAATAATTCTGTTTCTAATAAAAGGAGGGGGATTTAACCTCAGCCTGCTCTAGACTTCCCAGTTGCCAGCAGGCAGAGGAATCCCTGCTCCAAGGAAAGGGTTCCAGGTGGTTAATCCAAGGCCAGGTCCTCAGGGCATTGGTGCAGAGGTAGTTACAGCCTGGTTTAATGTCAAAGACAAACTCTGTGCAAGATGTAGAATATTGCTGAGCAGATTTTGCTGCTGCAGATGGAGCTGGACACACACTTCCCTTGGGGAATATGAGATGCCATAATTTCTGACTGGCTTCTTAGGAAAGCCAGCAATAAACCAAATAAATCTGTTCTAGCAATAAGTGCAGTCCTATTACAATAAATCCAGGTAGAAGCCCAGCTGAGTTCACCCTGAAAGTATTCTGTTAAAAGCTTTTCACTGCTACTCTTATTTATTCTCTCCTGGCTTTTATTTCTATTTTTTTTCTGGGTTAATTTCCCCTTTTATTATTCCAGCTGCTTTCTCCTAGAACTCTTTTGTTAAAATCATAAGACACAAATCTTTGGCTGAGATGAGGACAGATTTCAACAATTAAAAGTAATTTCTAGCAAATATCTGCAGAACACCGTTGTCAAAAATGCCTTGGGAACATTTTCTCCTTATGCAGTAGGAACTCCAAGACTGAACAATGAGAAGCTTGATAGTTCTAGAGAGCACTGGATTTTTAAGTGCTTTTTAAGTAATTTAAGGAATTAAAGTTTAAGAAAAGGCTTGGCTGCTGCAAAGAGTAAATACCCTTGTACTTTGTGCAAGGTAAGTTTTGCTCTTGTGATTCCTACCTTGCAAAACACACTTTCTCCCACTACTTTTCTCCCCCACCCAAACTTTGGTAATTCTTTTAAAAGCTAAAAAGTCCTTTTTAAAAGGGACAGACTGGTGACAGACTTTGCTGTGCCACAGGGGCTGAGCAGGGCTTTGTGCTCCCATGGAGATCCTTTTTGCCTCAGCTCATTCCCTTGCTCCCTGAGAACAATCCCTTCTCATTTTCTGCTGGAATGTTTAAGGCTTGCAGCCTTGAACCAGCTACAATTTCCCCTCCATTTCAAATCACAGTTAATAACTGTAGAGGGGTAAAACAACCAAACCCCACTCTTGCATTAGGGTAACATTTTGTCACTCTTGTTTAATCCCGTAAGTAAGTGTCCTCTAATGTCTATAAAAAAGAAAATTCAAGGAGGGAGATCCAGTTTGTCTGTGAAAAAGCAACTCATACTCATGAGGGCCAAGATTCACCCACAGATATCAAATTAACTGCAAATGACAACAAAAATACAGTAAGGGAAAATAAAGAGCCAGGCTGAGAGAGGAGATAATTTGAAGCCACAGGAAACCATGTTTGGGTTTTGAACCTTCTCCCTCTTGTATACAATCAGTTTAAGGACAAAATCAAGCCAAAATGCACCTGCTCAGGCTGCAAGGCACCGCTGCAGGCAGCTGCTGGCATTTGCCCCAAGAACAAATCCACCCCCATTGCCACTGGGAGCGTGTTTAGCAGGGCAAGGCTCACAGGCCAGGTTGCTGTCACCAGCCAGAGGTTTTATAACATTCCTCTGGGGTTTAGAAAGGAATGTGTTGAAAAAGAAACAGGCATGTGGCACTGGGAAGCTTTCAGGTATCAAACTCGCACACTTGTGGCTGTCTGGATGGTTCTACAAAGCACCAAGCACTGGGGTAGGGGATGGTTATTAAAACAATAGATTAATGTATATATAATGATTGTAAGACTAGTGCATGCACAAGTCAGAAATTGTGGCTCTACTGTATTTTCATAATGTTTTTGTGCCTTGCCTGGCTGGATTTTGGTCTCTTCCACCTGGATTTCCAGTGCCATGGAGGCCCTTCAGCTGTGTCTGCCTCAGAGAACGGGCACGGAACATTCACATCCCTGTAAGTACTTCAAAACCATCCCTTTAATGCTCAGCTATCCATCACGACTATATTTGTGATAGCAGTTGGCAGTTAACAGATAAAGAAATGATGCTGAACGTTTTCCCTCCCCATGGGAACACAGAAGGTTCTTTGCCTTTGCTTCTGAGCAAACACATAGGGCACCCAGGCCCCACTGAGCTGGCTCAGGAAAGGGATGCAGAAGTGCAAGCAGGGCAGGAGCAGCATGCAGAGCTTTGATGTTGATGCTGAGCAGGTTTTGGGTTGAGGCAGGTGTTTTGTTGGTGCACAGTCAACACAGATCCTCTGCTCTGGGTGGACCCTGCCTGGAACACTGCATCCAGCTCTGGGTCCTGGTACAGGAAGGAGCTGTTGGAGTGAGGCCAGAGATTGCTCAGGGAAGCTGTGGCTTCCCCATCTCTGGAGTGTCCATGGCCGGGCTTGGAGAAACCTGGGCTAGTGAAAGGTGTCCCTGCCCCTGGCAGGGAGAGGAACGAGATGCTCTTGCAGTCCCCTTCCCACCCGAACGCTCCTGTGCTTCTCTTGCCCACGCTCTGTGCTGCTCCACCCGCTCGCATCACCGCTGTTCCCCGAGCTGGAGCGGCGGACATGCAGCGCCAGCGCGGCTGCTTTTGGAGCCAGCTCGGTGCCGCCTCCCGCTGCCCGCCCGTGCCCGGCGGTGCGGGGAGGCCGCGGCTCTGCCCCGGCTCGGCCCCGCCGCGGCGGAGGGAGCGGAACGGAGCGGGGAGGGGCCGGGCCGGGCGCCATGGCGGGGCGGGAGCGCTGAGGCGGCGGTGAGCGGGCGGTGAGGGGGCCGGGCGGGAGCCCTGAGGCGGCGATGAGGGGGCGGTGAGGAGGCAAGGTGGGAGCCCCGCGGCGGCGATGAGCGGGCTGTGAAGGAGCCGGGCGGTGATGAGCGGGCTGTGAAGGGGCCGGGCGGCGATGAGCGGGCTGTGAAGGGGCCGGGCGGAGATGAGCGGGCTGTGAAGGGGCCGAGCGGCGATGAACGGGTCGGAGCGGCTGCCGGCCGGGCCCGCGGAGCAGCTGGGCGCGAACGGCAGCGGCACCGCGGAGCTGCGGGAGGGCACCCACGCCGCCACGCTGGCCGCCTGCGCCTCCCTGCTGGCCCTCGTCTTCTGCCTCGGCTCCTACGGCAACCTCATCGTGCTGCTCTCCTTCTTCGACCCGGCCCTCCGGAAATTCCGCACCGACTTCGACTTCATGATCCTCAACCTCTCCTTCTGCGACCTCTTCATCTGCGGCGTGGCCGCCCCCATGTTCGCCTTCGTCCTGTTCTTCGGCCCGGCCCGCGGCGTGCCCGGCACCTTCTGCTTCACCTTCCACCTCACCAGCTCCGGCTTCATCATCATGTCTCTCAAGACGGTGGCGGTGATCGCGCTGCACCGGCTGCGCATGGTGCTGGGCAAGCAGCCGCACCGCGCCGCCTCCGCGCCCTGCTCGCTGCTGCTCACGCTGCTGCTCTGGGCCGCCAGCTTCACCCTGGCCACGCTGGCCACGCTGCGCACCCGCGGCTCCCGCCTCTGCCTGCCCATGGCCAGCCTGCCCCGCGGCCAGGGCAGGCTCATCCTCTACCTCTATGTCACCGACTTCATCTGCTGCGTGGCCGTGGTGTCCGTGTCGTACGCGATGATCGCCCAGGCCCTGCGCAGGAACGCGCGGGCGAGGCGGTGCCCTCCTGCCGCCGTGGCCGTGGGCACCGCCAGGGCTCAGCCCTTCGCGGGGCCCGAGGCCGTGCCCGCTCTGTACAGGACCCAGAGCTGCAGCAAGCCGCCCCACGGCCATGCCAAGCTCCCCGGCCGGCTCCCGCTGGCCTCGGCCGTCAACCTGGCCACGGCCAAAGACTCCAAGGCGGTGGTGACGTGCGTGGTGATCGTGCTCTCCGTCCTGGTGTGCTGCCTGCCCCTGGCCATCTCCTTGGTGCAGGACATGCTGTCCGGCAGCGGTGGCTTTGTGCTCTACCAGTTCGAGCTGTGCGGGTTTACCCTCATCTTTTTCAAGTCGGGATTAAATCCCTTTATATATTCCCGCAACAGCGCCGGGCTGCGGAGACGCATGCTCTGGTGCCTGCAGTACGTGGCCCTGGTCTTTTTCTGCTGCAAGCACAAGACGAGGCTTCGAGCCGTGGGCAAAGGCAGCCTGGAGGTCAACAGGAACAAGTCGTCCCACCACGAGACCAACTCGGCCTACATGTTGTCCCCGAAGCCTCAGAAGAAGGGTTTGGCGCAGGCGTGCGGTGCCAGCCACTCCAAAGACAGCGTGCTGAGCCCCAAGGCCTCCGCGGGGCAGCAGCAGCAGCACTACGGGCAGAGCAGCTCCACGCCCATGAACACGCGGATCGAGCCCTACTACAGCGTGTACAACAGCAGCCCCTCGGCGGAGGCGAGCACCCCGCACAGCCTGCAGCCCGCGGGCTCCGCCTTCGCCTTCTCCAAGCCCTGCGGCGCCGCGCTCCATCCCTCGGGCAGCACGGCGGGGCGGGAATGCGGCGCTGCCAGGCTCATACCGCTGCCCTCCGTGTAGCCTCGGCTCATCCCGGCCCTTCCAGAGGGCCTCCCGCTCCGCTCTGGGGAGGAACTGCTCCAAACTCCGTGATGCTGCTGCCAGTGAATAGAAACACCGCTCCCGTTTGCGTTGGAAGCAAACGCGGGGCTGTCGCCTCCTTGACGCGCTTTGGGGTTGCCGTGGAGAGCCAGCAAGGGGGATATTTTAGGTTTGGAATTGTTGCGCGAGGGTGGTTTTGTTACTAAGTTTTACTGCTGGGCGAGTAAAAAAAACCCTAGATGCCATGATTGTGTGGTTCATTATGTCATAAGGCCAGGTTGGACAGGGCTCAAAGTAACCTGGGGCAGGGGAAGGTGTCCCTGCCTGTGGCATGGGATGGAACTGGATCATCCTAAATGTCCCTTCCAACCCAAACCATTCTATGATAACACCAAGTTTTATAAATACCTTGTATTTTCAGGAAGGAAGAACTGGGGACATGCTTGGTAGCATTTGAGTTTAAACTCTTCCCGTTGCAGGAGGTTGGAAGAATCAATGTTTTTCAGTATTAACAAAAGTCCTTAATCTTCACAAGGTGAAACCCTGCTTCTGTTGAGGTAAATGGCAAAATTTCTATGAGCTCAGCTGAAGTTCAGGATTTCAGTTTTGGCTTCTTCAAGTGGGACAAGGCTTTGTTTGGTCAGTGTTCTCTTTCCACTGGGGAGGGACATTTGGGAAGTGTGGCACTGGGACAAACCTCTGCAGTACATATATCAATACCTGCTGGGTGTTGACTTTAACAATGGTGGCATTCTGTATCCCAAAATAATTTGGAGAAGTGTTTTACATCTGATAGAAATAACCATTTGCATTACTTGAGGATAAAGATGAATTTTGCAATGTTACGTGACTGATACACCAGGAGGAGCACAGTCACCTCTGGAATTCCCTAACTGGTCAGCTGTCAGGCACAGAGTCGTGTTGCTGCTTGCTCTTTTGCCCATGACTTTGTATAAATTGGGATTTGGCCATTCCTGACAGTCAGAACTGACAGCTGTTAATATTTCTAAAACCAGAATGACAAGTTTTTGAGGTTTTGTTAAGTGTTAACATCAGTTTGAGTTCGTCTGTCTGCTTAGAAATTTTGTCTGTTGGTCTACACAGTGAGCAAATAACAGAAGTTAAGTATTTTTTTAATAAATTTACCCATTTGTGTTGTATCTTATTGTGGGAATTCCCTGGGAGGCAGGACAATTCAGGGGCATTTAAATTCCCCTGAATTTAAATCCCCCCTGTCTAATTTAAATTAGACATTTCTTGCTTTAAGTGGCCAGATCTCTTCCAAACAAGCAATCACCTTTCAGCTTCTGTGGACTTCAGCAGAGCTTCAGTGTCTCCAAAATAATTGTGCCACAGGCTTTTGATACCTTGCCATAGGAAAATGCCACATCTTCAGGAAAATGACAGTGATGGGAAAGTGATTTGTTACTTTAGAGACAAAAAATGTCCACATCATTGCTGTCTGTGAGTTGTTGGTTCAGGCTTTTTGTTAACTAAACTGTTCTCAAGATTCTCCTGGAACACTGTTCTTTGTTTAACACTGAATATTAATTAATTCTGAATAATTCAAACCAGCTTTCTTGCAATAAAATCAGTGTGAACAACTTTCTAATACAAATGTGAAATGGAAATTATTTCCATAAGTCTTTTTTCTCTGCCCAGATTTTTTTTTTCCTCTAAATGAATAATGTGGTTCTTTCTAAACTAGGCACAAAAGATAATGAAAAGATCTTGTTTAACTGTTCTGTATTTGAATTTTTCTTCAGTACCAATTGTACTGGAGGGTAAAATATACATGAGGCAGTTTTGGGGGTTTGCTGTGTGTATGTGCAACTTCTCCTGTGCCATTAGATCACATGAACTTCATCACATGTTTGAAAATTAAACCACTCACACCTCATTAAACATTTGCATTGAGTTTTCATGTGGGAGTAAAGCAAGAAGGGGCCAAGCAGGAGGTTTTATTGCCTTTGTGTGACAAAAGAACTGAAATCCCATCAAAGCTCTTTGCAGTTTGCTCTCTGTTAACTCCTGGTGCCAGCTGTGCCCTTAACACCACCTGTGTAATTAATATTGGTGTTAATCTGTGCAGCATCACAGTGCCAGATAGGAAAGTGCAACACCTTTTAATCTGCAAGAGAAACAAAACCTCATTTAGGTTGCTTTTACAGTTGCAGCTGTACTAAATGGCTGTTTTGTGGGAGGTTCATGGGTATAGTAAATCCAGATTGGATTTTGAAAGCAGGTACAACTTTGCAGTGAATCATTGACTGAAATAATCAAATTTTTGATAAAGTAATTGGATTAGACTCTTCTGGAGTATAACTTCTCCTTTTTTTTTCCCCTTAGTCTCTTCCATCAGAAGCCTGCTGAGCACAGAACCAGTAAAGAACCAGTAAAGAGTCACTGCAAGGTTAACAAGCAGCAGTGGAGTTGAGAAGGAAGCAGCAGAAGGTGGAGGTTAGAAATGTGTGGGAAGAGAGGAAGTGAGAAATGTGATCACTGAGTGCTTTAGAAAGCAGAAAGCATAAAGGTTATTAGAAAAACAACTGATTAATTACTTGTGGCTCATTAATCTAATTAACAAGCGACTTCTGGTTGCTTAAATGAACAAAAATATTTGTAATATTTTTATAATTCACAGTCTTTTTAAGCCCTAGATCTCTGTGGTGAAGAGTTGTCTTTTTCAGCTGCTGGCCTGCAGGATTGTGGGTTTTATCCTAATATATAAAACCTCAAAGCTGATGATGCCAAATAGTTTTGCTGAGGAAAGGTGGGTTTGCACTGAATTCCTGGGATCTCTGTCAATGGAGATGTTTGTTGCATGTTCCCCCTTTCAGCAGCAAACAGGTTGGTGTTGGTTTTGTTTTGTCACAGCAGAGCCGGGAATTGGAATTGGAAAAGGAATTTTTCACAGTCTGTGTTCCAAACATGCTGCATTCCTGGACTGGGGATTTTCTACTGGGAAGTTGTTTGTGTTTGCTCATCATAGGAGCAAGTCCAAGTCATGCTAAACCAAATAATTTGTCCTCACCTGATGTTTATTTTCTGTCACAGTCTGTTGATTTCCCTTGAATGTCAAAGTTGGATCAGCTGAATTTCTTTTGTTTTTTCCCAAGCACAATAAATAAAGTTATCAAGTGACACTAGGTGAGGGCAAGGCCCATGCGGAGGTAGTACTGAATCCATTGGAAATGGGTCAGGGTAACTGTGAAAGGTGGAACCTTCCTAAATCTAAACAATAATGTACAGGATTTGCTTATTCCCCAGGGATTTATGATTAAACAAAGCTCACCCCAGTCATTTAACAGCAGAGACCACCACACTCAGCTGGTCCTTTTTGTACTGTCTGGTTGCATATTTTATTCTGAATTTACAAAAGATTTTCAAGTCTCACCTCTTCCAGCAGTCACTGAAGCCAAAGTCTGCAGCAGAGTTTGGGTTTAGCCTCTCTCAGAGGGCTAAATTAAGTCAATCTTTACTCTTCCCTTGCCAAAGCAAAGAAAGGAGCTGCTCCCTGTGTACCAGCATGGTTTGTGGCTCTCTTACCTGCACACAGGGCGTGTTCCTACCTTAAGCTGTCCCAGAACTGGGAATCAGTCCTAGGACACCACTTCTCACTGCCACCACCTCAGGAAGGCAGCAAGGACATGCAGTGTGACCTGAGCAGTTCTTCCTTTCAGGTGACATCCACAGCACTCAAATGCTGGGAATAGCTGGACAAATTCAAGCATCCAGGAGGAAAAGGTTTTTTATCAGCGCTCGGGTCTCATCCCTTCAGGATTCTTTAACAGAGGGAATAACGAGTGTGCTGCAGTCCCCCTAGGAGCCTCTCCTGGGACTGATCCAGACAAACCCCTGGGCATCACAGCAGCCTTTGCAGGAGATAAATGCTTTTATCTGACCACAGGTTTTCCTGTGGTCAGCGTTCCCTGGGTCTCATTCCAGCTCCTGCATTTCCAGAGCAGATCCGTTCTCTGCTCTCACGAGTGGCTCGTTGGTTGTTTTTAGGACAGCTTTTAGCTGATGCCAGAACATTTTCTGCTTGTGTTCCTCAAGGCTCCACTTCAAGTAAGTTTTCCTTCTCAGCAGTTTCCTGAGTTTGATAAATTTCTGTGGGATGCTGTGGGGTGGGAGATCTTCCAGCACAATCATGATGAGGGAATCCATGTTTTCATTCAGGACCCGGTGTTCGGCAAAATACAGCTCGTACTGGCACCAGCAGCTGTTCACAAAGCTGGGAGACAGAACAAAAAGCACTTTATGGCTGTTCTCTATGCAGTAAAAAATGTTCCCAAGCACAGGATGCCCTGGCTTGAAATCCCTCTCATGGTAGCATGTCCTGAACCCATCATTTTCCAGCTTTTTCAGCAGGTTCTCTTTGGTCCAGTCGGCGTCGTGCTCACTGTACGAGATGAAGGCATCAAAGAGTTTGTTCTCTGGCCGTTTGTCATACTGCCTCCTCTTGGCCATGCACCAGTACCAGCCCATCCTGATGTACCAGGGCCCATCCAGTCTCCAGCAGAGCAGGGTGAGGGCCAGCACGGCCAGGCTGGCAGCGGCAGCAGTCACGGCCAGCTGGACACCCAGGGAGCAGCGCAGCAGCGTCAGGCGGCTGCTGCCCACCAGGGAGCCCCGGCGCTCCGGGGGGAAGCTGCACCTCAGGGCCCCCCTGCCCCTGATCTCCAGCTGGGGCTCGTGGAGGTAGATGTTCACGAACCAGTACAGGTCACAGGTACAGAAATAATGGTCCCCTTGGACAGCCAGAAGCCTGAGGCTCGTCAGCGGGCCGAACGTGGCCTCCACAATGGTCGTGATGGTGTTGTCACTGATGTCCAGCTCGACCAGAGAAGCTGGGAGAGAGCCACGCTGCAGAAAGGAGATCTTATTCCCTGAGAGGTTCAAGTACTTCAGCCCTGGGAGGGATGCCCCGAAGCCATCGGGCAGCTCTGGGATCAGGTTGTGGCTGCTGTCCAGGCTGGCCAGTGCAGGAAGATGGCCAGCGGGCTCCAGACGTGTGATCAGGTTCCCAGAAACATTGAGGTGTTCCAGCTTCTCCAGGGCAGAAGTTAAGGACAACACCTTCACCTTGTTTTTACTAAGATCACATTTTTTTAAGGCTGAGGGAAAAAACTCCGTGTGTACACCTGTAATTTTGTTATTTTGAATCCTAAATATTGTTAAGTTGGAGAGGGATTTCAGACTGGGGGAGATGAC